GTTGTTGTTGCTTTCTGGTTTTAATCCACATGGACACCATATGGTCCAGGACACTCACATGAACAAATCAATCAATATCAACAGCATGTCAGTGTTGTGTTTACAGCTTGCTTTTACTGCTCCCAGTTGGCAGTAAATGCAGTTTTAAATGTTATGACGACAGATGTTTTTATAATATTTAGTCTTTGACATTTACTGCCTATACTATTATTACATGCAAACAAAGTAGAAACACTCTGTCACCAGCACAAGTTCTTATCTGTCTATGATGCTTTGACCACATGCACTCAAAACATCTATTATCTATCATTGCATCATCAATAACTGCTTACCTTACAGGAAGTCCAGATGATCAGAAGCATATCACACAGTGAAAATACTACACTGTGAATAAAAGACATGTAACTAATGCTTTAATATTACATATGATGTTTTTGGATTAATGTTACCCAATGTATGTGATGAATTTTACTGATTGGATGCTTAATGTAGTGTTGATTTGACCTCCTTAATATGCTATGGGTAGTTTAATCAACACCAATGATGATGACAGACTGTACGTATGCCTAAATGTCAAGGTGATTATATTATATTCAATAAAAACATTATTACTACGCATGTTAGAGCCCAACAAAAGACAACAGTGGAAAATGTAAAGTTCTGTATTTGAAATATGTTCATTTGCATCATCCCTATCAAACTTCAAATCCCTTGATTTCACAAATAAGTCTAAACAAATAACAATTTAATGATATTATGGACAATATATCCTTTAATTTAGCAGACTGGAGATGTGAAATATTTGATTGATTTCAGGAAATGTACTACTATTGTATTTTGGCCTCTGAGATGAATTGTTGTAAGTTGCATGAAGGCGAAATACTCAAATAAAATACAAGAACTGCACATTTTAATACAATTTTCCAGAGCAAATGTGCTTAGTTACACCCCATCACTTCCAGAAGCAATCACCATTTGATAAAATTAGGCATTATTTAGACGAAGACTTTGGGAATCGAGCAATATTTATTATCTACCGTAGTTTAAAACCGCTTTACAGCCGGCTGACATTAAGAAGCTGTATTTAAAGAAAACAACAAAGCAATAGTGCATCTTCGCTGTGTAGACACACACACACACACACACACACACACACACACACACACACACACACACTTTATCATTTTCTTTTATCATCCGCAGTATAATAAAGTCATTTATCATAAGAACACTTTGCTGCTGCTGCACCAGCCCGTGGGGATCATTGTGGCTTTATGTAATCTAATTTAATGTTATGATTAGAAGTCACTACGTAACAGTACAATGAAACACAATTATTTTCACAGTATGATATGAAAAGGCTGCAGGTGAAGTTTGAAAGGAAAACATGTGAGTGTTATAATAACTCACATAATTTAATAATAATTGGATTCAGGGAGAAATCTTCAGACAAACTAACAAGCTGCTAAACCTGTAATTCCCTTGTCTTGGAATAAAATATATGAAAAACAATCAAGTAACGTTTTGTGATAGTTGCTGTCTGTTAAAGGAGAAGTTCAGTTTAGGATACATACAATGAGACAGGAATGTACATCTCTGGAAAGTTATCATGGCAGAAAACATGTTGTTACAGTCGTGAAGTAAACAGTAGGACAACAGCATTCACATTACTCTAAGTCATCCACCAGGAGTGTGTTTGTGATTGGTCAACGCGGTGTCTTGCCAGATAATGTTGCATTTTGACACTGAGCTTTAGTGGGTCCATACATAGCCTTGATTATGAAGAGATTAGAAGATTGATGGCCATCACAATCTGTAAATATGAATAGGCCTACACAGCTGGCAAATGGTTAGCTTAGCTTAGCATAAAGACTGGGAAAGGGGCTGAATTGTCTGGTTATGTCCTTGACATTGTTTCCTGGAGAGAAGAGTACCCTGACAAATAGTATTGCACATATTGTAATGTCAGTTTTGTGTAGATTAAACAAACAAGATATAGCCTACGTTTTGTATTGATGAGCTAAGAGGTGGTGGTGCATTACATTCCATTGCATTTAAAATGGTATCTGACGATTGCATTCAACCATAAAGATTTGGATCAGCAAGGATCCTGAAAATACATTAGTTTAAAACATGCTAAATGCTTTGGCTACAAATAGGCCAACCCTTTACAATTATTTTTAATGTATTTTGAAAGCAGGTGCATTCAGGCGCAGTCAAAACAGTTGGGTTTTCAGCTTATAACGGAAGATGTTTAGTAGGATTTATTTTAAACCTCTGGCCAGGCTAACTGTTTTCTTTCTTTGTGCTAAGCTAAGCTAACAGACTGCTGTAAGTTCATATTTCCCGACAGATATGAGTAATAACAATCTTCTCATCTAACTCTCAACAAGAAAACAAATGAGTTTATTTCCCGAAGTCTCGTATGTTGTGTTCAAATAAGATTCACACCAGCACCAGTATGTTATTAGTATGCATAGTGCAGATCATCTTCATCAGACAGTCTATTCTGTGAGTTTAATTGGTACCTCGTGAGTGATCACTAATCCTCAGAGACTGTCGCTGGCATGTCTATACTGTATGGGTGTTTTAGAGAGATAGAAAAAAAGCCTGAGATAGATCAGATGTTTAACGCACATCACAAGTTTCCTCTCCTATTTTCATGCAAACAAGGTTAACTAATCCATAGGGGAATTACTGTAAATGAGCTATTTCCCTGAGAGCCCCACCGCAGCACATCCATGTCTGCAAGGAAAAAAACATCTCCAGAATCATATTCACATTTACATGTCTTTGAAATGTTGGCGTTTATAAGAAAACGCATTTTCTTTTGGTGCATATAAATGTTTAAACAGTGGGGGCTCCTTATGAGGACTGAACTCACTTAATGATATCTAAAAAGACATTTCTTCTCTTTTCTTTTGCAGGAGCAGGTCCTCACGCCCGTTGACTTTTGATGATTCATTCAAAGGCTGGGATGAAGATTAGGCATTTCAAAGTATGTAACAAGGCAGGAGACAGAGAGGAAGGAGATAAAAGTGCACATATAGAGAAAGAAGAGGGGATCAGGAGTGCCAGGAGCTAAGAGAAAGTGGTACAGATGGGGAAACTGAAAGATTGCAGCTTCTGTTTCTCCAGTCTGTTAGTTCTGCGTCTTTGTAGGCCCTCTCCTGGGAAATGGAGGATATAACCCCTCTAAAGTCTCCCTGTTTCATGTCGGGTCAAGATCTTTTTGATCAGGGGTGACTGAGGATAAAAGCTCAAGAGGGGGGCGAGCAAGGGTGGGGGTAAAGAGTGTAACTGAGGAGGGAAGAATAGAGGATGAGTGACAGAAGATGGGGTGTAGGGAAAGAGTGTGATGGGAAGATGAGGTGGACAGACATGGACTTCACGGTGTCTGCTTCTCAGAAAAGATGGAGGGGGAACTCAGTCAAAGGAAGGATGTTTCTCAATCACCATCCTCCAGAGCGAGCATGCCAAAGTTTGTTGCGGAATAGCTTCATGGATATAAAAAAAAGGCAGAGTGAGAGGGTTTCATATGACAAGAAACACAAGAGTCAGCATTGTTGGTGTGTGTGTGTGTGTGTGTGTGTGTGTTGGTGTGTGTTTCTGTGTGTGTGTGTGTGTGTGTTGGTGTGTGTTTCTGTGTGTGTGTGTGTGTGTGTGTGTGTGTGTGTGTGTGTGTGTGTGTGTGTGTGTGTGTGTGTGTGTGTGTGTGTGTGTGCAGCTGTTGAGGTGACACACACATGACATGGCAGGCGCAGAGCATTGCTTCCATATTGACTCTCTCAGAGGGGGTGGGGGGGGGGGGCTCTACATCATAAGCGTCATATTGATTACAGAGACTATGAGATGAATGGCAGACACCCGATACTGCAGCCATATGTCCGCACAAAATCTTTGTGACCATCACACACACATGCACACACACCAGTGGTGGAAGAAGATACTTTACTACACTGTGAACATAAATACTCCCTTTAAACTTTAAAGTAAGAGTCCTGCACATTAAAACCTTACTTGATCTAAATAATTGAAGTACTAACAGTATGAGTTTCTTCACATTTTCTAAATAAAAGCACTCATTGTGCAGTACAATGTTCCCCGTCAGTGTACTTTTTTGTATGATGTTTATTGATGATGTTTAAAATCAGATAATGCATTTGACTGCTGCAGATGTTTAGGTTTAGTCTTTTATACACGGCAATGCATCATATTCTATAAGATCATAATATTTGGCGTCATTTTTCTGTGAAAATCTCTAACAGGTCAACTTTCTATGAGCTCAGAAAAAAACTCCCTTCTGAAGAATTCTGACAATGTTTCTCTGGTTGATCCAAGAGGAGTTCTATATAAATAACTCACACAATACATCCCACTTTTCGCTAAAACCGTGCTATTTCATATGCTTCCACATACACACAAATTAGTAAATGACTGAAAAGAACAAAAGGAAGACATGCTCTTATAATCTCTCGAGGCGAAATTCAATTTTCACTCTGTTAATATCACACAAATAGGTCTGTAAATTCACACATGCACATACAAGACCTGCATGCAATTATGGCTATGGTTGAACACCTCGAGCAGTTGGGGGTTAGGTGACTTCCACAGAAGCCTCCACAGGAGGACATAAAACATGTCAGAAAAGATAAAGTCAATACAAAACAATTACAACAATCCATTTTACAATCCGTAAAAGCAACAAGAAACAGAACAAACACTTATCTCTCCCTGTTAGAGGATCTTATCACAACCTGTCTTATGCAGCATGATACATAAACACATGGTGTACACGCCCACACACTCACACACGTTGTTATTATGTTTGCATAATTATTGCAAAAGCAGAGGAGTGTCACCTTATGAAATCAGTGTCACATAATGCCCTCTGCTCTCACAGGAGTCCCTCTGCATGCATGTCTTCCTCCAGTGTGTGCCTCACTGAATATGTGGTGCTGTGCCTTTAAGCTGCAGGCGTGGCTCTACTACTACGACCCGCCCTTTTATGCATAACAGCCAACTCTCCTTCCCCAGGATCATATAGTGCAGCAGTCTGCAAAGAAAGTGACCACAACCGAAGCACATCCAATCCTCTGAGTGGTGGGTACTGCGACCAAACGGAGACATTTACCTCAAACACGGTTAACAACCGGAAAAAGACGCCCATTGGATAATTTGAAACCTTTACATCTGAGGAAGAGGAGTCATTGCATTTTGGTTTGGACACCTTACACTGCGCCCAGCGGATCTATGAAGACGCGGGCAGGGTTTTCACTCCCAACACCAGGTAAAACCCCTTTTTTTATATTATACAGCAACTTTTCCTTAAAGGCATGTTAGCACACAGGCACAGAATGAGGACAGGTTTCACGGGGAGTTTTTGATGTTTTTGCGGCTTTCCCACCGTGACTGCTGCTGCTTAATTACCTGATTTTGAGTCGCAGCTGATTCCTCTGAGCTTAACAAGGAGGAATTGAACCGGGAGGAGGAGCTAAATACACTACTTTACATACGACACCGCCGTCTGCACAGGTTCATTGGCAGCCAGGAGGAGTACCTGTGTAGCCAATTAATCTATTTAATTCTAGTTTAATCTCCCTATTTTCTGCCAAGCAGTCAGCAGAAACAAAAATAAAAACTGCTGCCCTCCTCTTGCTGTCAGTATACTACTAAAGCATTGTTATGTTTGAAAGAATGTTGCGAAACTTGTACTTCTCAGAAACGGCACAGAGTAGTTTAACTTTAACTTTGTGTAAAGATAGTCGGTGTGTCACCAGCGTTTTGTTCCACACATCTATGGTTCTCTTAAACCTTTTTATAATGACTATTTTCTAGCATTAATTGGCTGATTACATATTTCCTCAAATAAAATAAAAAGAAGAAAAAAGCTGCATGGCTCCAAATCCTCATGTCTGTGATTTTTAATGATGAGAATAAGGCTCGGTTGTGACACTGTTGGCTCTTTCTCTCCGCAGACCGAGGGAACAGGGTGTGATTCATCCCCCCGCCCGTAAGCACTGATGCCGGGTATTAGCACCACCGCGCCTCGGTATGAAAACTGGGACATGGAGCACCTTGACCACTACCAACATTATTTCTACGACGACCACCATGACCCGGATGAGGATTTCTTCAAGTCCACAGCGCCTAGTGAGGACATATGGAAGAAATTCGAGCTGGTGCCGACCCCGCCCATGTCCCCTATCCGGGCAGTGGAGGGGTCCGGCCGGGTCGGGCTGCTCTGTCCATCTCTGGGGGACAAACTGGAGTGGGTGTCCCAGTTTTTAGGGCAGGACGATGAGCAGCAGCAGCAGCAGCAGCAGCAGCAGCAACATCAGCAGGAAATCCCCTGCAAGCTGACCACCTCCAATGACTCTTATGGGAACCTCAGCTCCATTATTATCCAGGACTGTATGTGGAGTGGGTTTTCCGCCGGACAGCAGCTGCAGAGAGTTGTAGGGGAGAGACTTGCATCCTGTCCCGGGACGGGGGCCGGTGTCAAAGTCGCCGCAGCAGCCGCCTCTGTGGTTGCTTCCCCTGGGAGGCAGCAGCAGGGTGCCCTCGCGGAAGCGTCGGCTCCAAGCGGACTGGCTGCGGACTGTGTGGACCCCGCTGCGGTGCTCACTTTCCCGGTAAACGGTGGATGCAAGAAGCAAGTGTCCTCCGGTTCAGAGTCTCACACCGACTCATCAGGTCAGTAACATATAAATGGCGTTTCTGTTTAGAGAAGCATGTTGCTATAATGGATCTTCTCTCGGCTATTTCAATAATATTCCTTATCGAAAAAATATAAAATATGTGCATTTTCTCTCTATTTGCCCACTTACATTTCCTCAAAGTAAGGATGAAATTGGATTTTTTTTTCCTTTATCTGACCTCATAGGTGAAGACGTGTCCCTCCACCGTTTAGTTAATATTTTGCTCTGATAAGCCATTATCTCGCAGTAGGGGTTGGCAGCATGGCACATGATCACTGCATTGCGTTACCTTGGTGCATGCAACACATGCTTCTAGCCCAGAGTGACACGCCCATTGAAACATCTGCTGCTTGGCCCTGCTCCAGCAGACCAGCTGCTCCCTCTCCCTGTTCCTCCAGTCTGACTTATGATAACAATATCCTCTCTCTCCACACTCCCCGGCTTTCGGATACGACATTAATTCAATAAGAGTGCTCATTATTATTGGAAGTTTATGTAGCATGAAAGGAAGGGAAAATTGACCCTGTGTTTAGTTATTGTATCCAGACTCCAGGCCTACTTTTGATATCCATTTCCACTCTGTTAACTCGTATGATTGAGATTGGTATGTAGGCCTGCCATGTGATGTTGGACAGTGCATAATGGTGTGTGTGGAATGTCACAAAGGGAACTTGTTGCTGCATTCCTCCGCTCAACAGGCTGCAGCGCCAATTGTGTCAGTGGGTGGATTTGGTCCGAGCCAGCCCAGGCTGTGAATAGAGCGGGATTAGCCGTTTAGGAGGTCGGCTAGGCGTGCAGAATGCTTTGACGTGAGTTTGGAGGCTGTGTCTCACACCGTTTCAGGGGGTAATATGCGTTCAAAGAAGAGGAGAATGAGCAATCACAGGACATACATGTGTGCTTAAGCTCCTACAAAGAGGCATTATGTAGGGCTGATTGAAGGAATCAATTCTTCACGCCTTGTAATGTGAGATGACATCGTTTGTCATATAAATGTAAATAATAGACAGGCAGCCCTCCCCTCTAAAGCTTTCCCCTCTTTACTGTGTTAAATAGAGCTTAATACTTTCTGAGCAGTGAAATCCACAGAGGTGCAATTAATTAAAAAAGTGCGTTTCAATTTACAAGAACATTGAAAATCTCTCAGGAGTCTTGTCAGTTGGTGGGAATCAAGTCAATAAGACCTTTTTCCTTGCGATTAATACCCGTTTCCACTCTGGTGGTTTCAAGCGTGTGCAGCGTTGGTTATTAGTCGTCTCATTTTAACAAGAAGAGTGCTTCTTAACCCGACCCCGACTCTTATCCTCGCTCTTGAGTGAAGAGACGGAGCTGAACTAATTCAGTGAATAATCCCTGCGACTGTGTGAGGTCATGTGGAAGTGTGAATTTTTAAAGAAGCAAGTGGACTCATCTTTCAGCTGTCATTTGCAGTTATTTAGCTCATCAAACACATCACTTAATACTCTCTATGCTCCTTTTTCAGATGATGAAGATGATAACGATGAGGATGAAGAGGAGATCGATGTGGTGACGGTGGAGCAGCAGCAGCAGCAGCAGCGTAAACCTCGTCGGATGGTCAACTCTCGCAAACCAGTGACTATCACGGTGCGAGCGGACCCCCTGGACACCGGCATGAAGCGCTTCCACATCTCCATCCACCAACAGCAGCACAACTACGCTGCCCCCTCCCCGGACACACTCCCTCAGCATGTGGAGCCTCCTCGGAAGAGGGTCCGACAGGAGGCCTCCTCTCACTCGCACCTGAACTCTCATCATCATCACCACCACCAGCCTCGATCTGGCCACACCCCTCTGAACTCAGACAGCAGGAAGTCTCATGTGGCTGGACTCGGGTCCGAGTTGCCTGACCTCAGCGCCTGCTCTCCTACCTCCTCCTCACCCCCTTCATCCCCTCCCTCTTCCTCCTCTTCTTCTTCCTCCTCCTCTTCCCATTCCCAGATCTCCCCCTCAAAGCCCCGCTCCTTCACTCACCTCTCAAGCCCCCAGTCCTCCGACTGCGAAGACACGGACAAGCGCAAGGCGCACAACTTCCTCGAGCGCAAGCGGAGGAACGACCTGCGCTCGCGCTTCCTGTCGCTGCGGGACGAGATCCCTGGCCTGGCGGATTGCCCCAAGACACCGAAGGTGGCAATCCTGACTCGAGCCACGGAGTACTTGCAGCAGCTGCATGTCAGTGAGAGGCAGAAGGCCCAGGAGAGGAAGCGGCTGAAGTCCAGACAGCTGCAGCTGCTGCAGAGGCTGGCGCTGCTCAAACGCTCCTGAGCGACGTGGGGGAACCGGCTCTCACCACACGCGCACAAACACTCACAGAACTGAATACATGAAGGAGAAGAGACACTAATGTTCACTTTGATTTGATCACGTTGGAATAGTGCGGGTGGATTTAATTGTCTTTGTTTTCTATTTTTGTAGTTTGCACATTTAGCTTCTGAGTGATTGACAAGGCCGTAAGCTGGTCAGGACAGCAAGCTAGGGACTGATCTTATAGAGCGTTTTACGGGCAGATTAATATGTCCATGGTTATTCAATATAGGTTCATGCTATAATCCCCCCCTTGCTGAAAAATGCTCAAATGTTGCTTGTTTACGGGAAGGATTGCTGTGAATGAAGCAGCTGCTAGTTGATAAACTCCTCACATTTTTCTACCTGCTGCATGGTCAGACGATTTCGTCATTGTGATGGGGCTTACCCAGCAGATATGTCCTCTCTTTCTGTCTGTCCTTTTCTAAAAGGCCCTCTTCTAATGTTTTGTTCTTTAAAGCTGTTAGCGCTTGGCAAACAATTTTCACATTTTGTTATCAAGTTGTGCCTTGTTTCTGATCTGTTTTCTTTCCCATTTTCTTTTCTATTATTCTCGATCTAACCTCATTTTCTTGTTCTTTTCTTACCACTGTTTCCTTCGTCAGCTGTTGAGGCATGTAGCTTTTATGCTTGCTGAAAATGGGAAAGCTGTAGTGGGACTGTACTGAGCCATGCAACAAATGACGTTACAACTGGATACAATATATTCTGCACCTCTGGAATAGCTCAGGTTGAGTCCTAACTTCTGTGCCTGCAGGTTTTCAATTCAGTGTTTTCCTCTTGCATCGTAGACATTTCAACAGCAGCACCACGCCCACAGTAATACCTGATTTGTAGCATTAATTGGATCAAGAAAATATAAGTTGTCAAAGAACTTCTTTGAGAATAATTGTGTTTTCAATCAAAAAACACTATGAAGATTTTCACCAGGATCATTATTATTGTTGTGCCATGGAGACCAGCAGAAAGTTGAATGTTGGCTTCAAATGATTATCAACCAAAAAAAAGATCTTTTAGAGAATGGCTTCATTTAACCTGTATGTTTCGAGACATTTAAAAATGCCAACATTTGCTTTGAGATGAAGCCCAACGAGGTCCAACTGTACATTTCTTTCATCTTGCTGTCTGGTCAATTTGTTTTTGTATTCAGTGTAACGCCTATAGAAGCCTTTCAATGTACGTAGACTATCCTGTTGGATGTTATGTATATAGTTCCCTTACTGTACAGTCCCTTCCAAACCAAAACCAGAGCTGTCTACTTTACTCATCCTAGTTTTTGTTCAGCCCTAAAGCTTGCTGGCTTTTCAAAGATAACTCAAAGCTTCTATTTTTGTTAATAAAAATATTAAGAAAAAGAGTCGAAATAAAACACTTACTGAACATTGATCACACTAGACACTTTGTCGCCAGGTTTAATTTTTTTTTTGCGAAGCCTACTTGTTTTCATTACTGTTCATTATCTGTTTCTGGGGTTTGATTTATTTGTACAAGTTCACAAAAGTTTTATACTATATTTTCCTACAGAGTTGTGTTTCAGTGTGAGCTAATGACTGTTTTTGTTATTGTAGCTGGCGGGGCTTTACTGGTGGTTATGTGCTGAAAATTGGCATGTGCGGTCTGCTTTTTATCTGGAGTTGAAAGCACCACCTGAATGCTCCTGTCTTCAATCCAATCACTGTAGCTGTAGCACTCTGTTAAATGTTTCGCGGTGTGCAGGGAGGAGGGAGGACTTAAGAGGATCTACCGATTAAACTTGTGTGTAGCCTTGAGTAACCTTATGCTTTCCCTCTGCCTTTGTTTTAGTTTTTTTTGCAAGGCCGATGCCCCCTATTGTTCCCATAAGCCATGCAACAGAGAACACTGTAGCCCTTGAAATAGTACTGTAAATGGCATGAGTAGCGTACTCTGCTATTACTAGCACTCAGGAAACTCCCACGTGTAGCTTGTAGCTATTCTGATAGGGCCAGAGGCTGCGCTTGAGGAAACACCCCCTGCTTTATTATGCTGTAACATAAACACAGACCCACACTGATGGAAAGAGAGCATTAGATCAGGGGAATCATCATGTATGTGATTACATATTTATGTCCCCCTTTCTAATTCAGCACAAGCCACCATAAGCCCTGGTTTTTATTTTCTCTCAATAGGGTGCACCCACAGCAGCCCCTTTTTGTTTATTTGTTGTTTGTTTGACTTGTATTGGTCACAGGTTTCTGCTGTTGGCACAGTCAGTGGATGTTGCTTACTGACTTTTGGAGTTTAACCATGGTGATTTTGGAGCCTTGTTTCAGCACTTTGTTTTTTTCTGTACCTCATAAGCCTCTATGTATGACGAGTAAGTCCGGAAAATAATAAATTCATGGTTTGACATCATAAATTGTTTTGCTTGTTCTGGTTGTCTCTTGCACACACACTAATGAATGATCATCTCACCTGTTTTTTGACAGCACCGTGGCCAATAAAAACATACAAATAAATAAAAACAAACAAAACATTAATAAATTCTCTCCTTTTTTTGAGAAGCTAGTGCAGTAGGCCTACTTTGGTTATAGATAGGAAAGGTGCAGGATTCTTGCTTTTTAGTTTGTTTCTTGGTTGAAGTACTTACTTGCGTCAGCCAAATGAAATGTAATGTTATCTTATAATTGGCTTGAAATACTATTAAATCTTTAGGAGGTTTTTTTTTAGAGTATTTTTTTACTGCACACAATTGTTTTCCATTAAAACCACCTGTACGAGTAAACACACGTCTCCCTATTCACCATTTCCTCAGAGCAGTCTCCAAGGTAACTGATCCTGGCATCTTTGCCATGGCAACAAGCATCTGCTGCAGAGCTCCATCAGTTTCCATAGAAACAATTATAACTACGCTGCAATCCACCATGTACAGGCATTTCCTAAACACCGTTAATGTTATAAAAAATTGCATAATATGTTCACAAATGCAGCAAAAAGACGAGATACAGTCTTATTGACATTTTTTTTTTTGTATCCGATTCGTAACGTGTAAGTCCGCAGGAAGCTTTGAATTCACACAAAAAGTCAAAAAATCGAAAAAAATTACATTCTCGAGCAATTACATTCAATTAGTCTCGACTCTCATAAAGATGAAGGAACCTTCAAATTATCCACTGCTTGTTGCCTAGTAACAGAGCCAACCTCTCATTTCGAAGCCCTATGCGCATGCGCTGTACCAGTCAGCTGGGCGCCTAGGAAAGAAGCATCATGGCGGCGTCCGCTGCTAGCGTGGTGTGTGGCTTACGCAGAGCCATGGTACCGTCTTTGGTGGTGATTTTAGGAGCTACCGGCACCGGGAAGTCCAAGCTTGCGATAGAGCTCGGAAGACGGCTTCAGGGAGAAATAATCAGCGCCGACTCCATGCAGGTAGGAGGACTGTTAAACTCCAGGAAACAAGCAGGGAGTCCTTGACAAGGCAGCCATAATGCTCTTGATAGCACGCTAACGTTTGAAATAAGTCGAGCAAAGTCAAACTAAAACATCTGCTGTTCAGTCAAATGATTACAGATGTGAATACAAACTAGTAGGCTGTCTTATAACTGTGTGTTTCCGAATGAGGAGTTTGTATGTAGCAATATTTATGGTACCACGCAAGCTAGCAGGGGTTAGCTTAGCTTAAATCAGCAAGTCAGGTAATGAACATGACTTAGTTTGTCAATGTAATGCGGCCATTCCTCTACCATGTTCATTAAAGGTCTACACTGACTTTTATCCAGCTCTAAACCTCACCTCAGGTGCACTGCAGGGAGACACAGCAGCTGGAGAAAACAGAAATTTAACAGTCATTAGAGGTCTGTTTGAATGAATTATGTCATTTAAACTTGCCGTTTAAGTCTTTAAAAACTCACACACATGTAATAGAGGATATTAACATAGAAGCATTGCTTTCAGTTTATGTATACCAGCTGTACTGTCATTTCTAGCTTATATCTCTTAGTCATGGTGCACACTTTAAAAACTAAAATATATGGATGTATTCAATGTTGTTGAATGTCAAGACCCAAGGCTGTGGTTTCTAAGCTTTATGATAATAACAGACATGTTTTATTAAGGTGTAGTAAGGTTACAGAACACAATTGTTATTGTAAGTTTTGTGTGACAAGTACAATTAAATCCTGAATGAATCATTGATCAACCATATCTTAAGACAATCATTTCAGATAACATGAATTTAAAATGAAATATCACTGCAGCCAGAAGAAGAAAGTGCACAATTGGATGTAAAGCATGGATTTGTTTCTGTCTAGAACAACACTGACTGTACTATGAACATCTACTTTATACAGTATGTATATTTGACAATAAGAGTGACATGTACAATATGAGCCAGACATATTAGCACCATTTTTGACATTGTTAGCAAAATAAAATACAGTTACATTGACAAAAATTCAATGTATTTATTAGAGGATATAAGAAAAAATGTATATAATTAATCTACAACCATTCTGCGCTTTGGCATTTTTTACGTATAAATAACACTAATAGAAAAGGTATGTTACTTGGGCTGCAACAACTCACTATTGATTTAATCTGACTATTTGATTATGGTTTAATGAAAAAAAAGGGGCCATCCACATTTCTCGAAAGTCAAAGGTGATGTCTTGTTTGGTCTTTTGAAAAAACTAAAATATGCACTTATATTTGATATATAGTGGTGCATTAATAGATACTTTAATTTAAGTTATCAATATCAGGAAATCTAGCTTATAATTGTTCTGTCTGTCTAATCGATAAGTCCACTTATTGTTGCAGCTCTACACATTATCTACTCTTCTAGAAATGTTGACAACTTTCAACTAAATATAAGGGTTATATTTCTGTGAATATTTAAGATGAATAAATATAAAATGTTATATTGTAGCAGTCGTTTTCTTTAGAAATAATAAAGTGTGACTGTTCTATTTATAAGTGAATGGACTCCAGTCATAAATCAGTATACTGTAACATTGAACTTTTGTCATAAAGAAATGTGTTTGTTCTTTTATCACTGTCTCCTATTGTTTTTGCAGTTAAAAATAAGCATAGATTGCTATATTTAAACCACAGGACATTACTTTCTCACTTCCACTTAGTGTGTGTGTCACAGTGACATTTATAAAACTCCAAGGCTTGGTGTCGTTGCTCCTCTCTCTCTAAGCCCCGCCTTCAATTTAGGTTCTCAGGCTCTGTTGCCGCAGCAACGAAAGGGCACGCACGCGAGAAGAAAAAAGGTCGGGTACCAGTTTTTAGACTAGGTCACACCAGTGCTCAGAGAGGAAACACACACTTAGAAACACACAGTGACCGCTACATCTAAAGCAGCCTGCAGTGATTCCTCTCTGCAGAGTTCCATCACCTTGCTCCTGTTTCAGCTTTCTCTCCCTCTTCCTCCTCCCCTCCTCTTGGCGTGAATTGTCCTTGAGAGTGTGTGTCCCTGCGGGGGAGCGCCTCTTCAAGCAGTCACCTGGTGCTGGGTAAACTGGGTTACGCTAATAACATTTCAGCCCAGAATATCTCAACGACCCTGCGTGTTGGAGAGAAACCGTGGCCTAGATACGGCACGGCAGCCCCGGCCTATCTCCACAATCCTTGGCCTTGTTGCCTCCTGTTGGTGTGTGTGACAGCCAGGCAGACATACAGAGAGTGAGAAAGGGACTGCTTATGTGAGAATGAGGCTGTGTATAGGCTAGAGCTGGCCTGTGTTGTCTTTGGGATAGGAAACAGTCTGGTCTTGTTTGGGAGAAAGCTGCATTGTGCTGAGCTGGTGCATATTCAGCGCCGTGCTTCGCCGGCCCAGCAGCTGATAGTGAATGGACACGCTGTGGCCACTGGGAAGTGTCTATTGTCCCGGGGAGAATCGGTTCCCACACTTCCCTAATACTCCCCTAACACTCCTATTGTGTTATGATCAACCCCCCCCCCCTGCCCCTGGCCATGCCCTCNTGTGTGTGTGTGTGTGTGTGTGTGTGTGTGTGTGTGTGTGTGTGTGTGTGTGTGTGTGTGTGTGTGTGTGTGTGTGTGTGTGTGTGTGTGTGTGTGTGTGTGCGCACACACACACACACACACACACACACACACACACACACACACACACACACACACACACACACACACACACACACACACACACACACACACACACACACACACAGTAAGAGAGAGGATTGCCTTTCAGTCCAGATGCTCAAAACATCAAGCTGCTCACACACACACACACACACACACACACACACACACACACACACACACACACACACACACACACACACACACACACACACACACACACACACACACACACACACACACACACACACACACACACACACACACACACACACACACACACACACAC